TCGCGCAACGTGTGCTGATAGCTGTTCTTCTAACAGCTGATAGCTGTTCTTCTAACAAGTATATAGACATAATTCGCTAATTTTCTCGTCCTGTGGCCGCTGGACAAAAGTTTTGGTCGGAATGAATCGCCGGCTCGGCGGTGCGGAAAATGTAACGTCTGCCGCCACAACGCTTCCCATGCTGGTAATACATTTACGGACGTACCGCTTGTAATTTCATTCTCAAGCGCGGCCTCCTAGACAAAAAAATTACGCTTCGCGCTATTCCTGTTCCCAGAGGTCTGAGTGCTTAGCACAAGTGGCCTCACTGGTAAGTTGATTGTGCACCCACAGATGCCTATTTCAGGCATTTCTGAAGTGCGTTTCATAGCTGGTGAACGCCTCCAGGCGTTCACCAGCTCCCATGCGTTTCCTAGGCCAACATGCATCGTTGTCAAAAAATCATATTATGTTCTATCCTCACAAAGGTTTCGCTTTTTACATTCTCTTGTCGAAGTGACGTGACGCCAGCTCAAAGATGAAGTCTTCCACCTCACATTAATAAGCGCCAATTTGCTATAAATTCAAAAATGGTTTAGATTGATAGATCTGTTTAGATGTACACAATTGCAAATTCTCGTGTGTGTGCATGCGGTCTACATGCTCCACGGACCTTTTCTCTACGAAATCCATCACCATCATCCGCACCGGAACTAATCACAGATTTTGAGCTTCGCGAGTGCAATGCTAAACAAGTGCCCCGCGGCTGAATATGCAATGTTTCATACGCAATAGTCCCTCAGTCGTCTTGTAGGTGCGTCTACAGTTTTGTATATGACTGCGTCGCTCCGTTGCGATGCTAATTTGTTGTACACTTTATGACACTGGAAATCTAGATAGTGTTTCAGCAGCGGAAGCATATTGATTATATTTGTTGCATCTATTCCCTTGTCGGTCGCCTACTATGTAGTCGTGCTTGTGAGAGTGCCTAAGAGAGTATGCGCGCGGATCTACCTGCAGCAGCGACTATTTGGGCATGAAGAACAAAAAACACAACGGTTGTACATCGCGAAGAAGATTAGGTCGGCGCTTGGACCACCAGGCTGACGCTACACTTGTGTGTCCAGTAGTACGAATAGTGAATTTTTTGTCTGGTGATGAACTGAATTGAGCCACAGTAGTGATCACGTGTCAAATTTACTGTAAAGGTGCTTGTTTATTACTGATCAATTTGTGGAGACGAATGTCGTTGAAGAGATACATGAGCTTGACATCTCGCGGCCTCTGTCGCTGAATCGTAAGATCATGGCGCACACATTTTGTACGTTTACCGAACGAAATGGCTGTAAGGACGTTTATTACGTGAGAATCTTTTTTGAAATCTCACAGCTAATTCTCGAAGCTACGCCGTCTAGTTCATCATCTTGAGAAGTTGTTGTTAGATCTCGAGCTCATTGACACCATTGATCCAAATTATCCGGTGGAGTATGTCCTAATGTTAATTCTAGTGTAGCTGAGGATTTCCAACTGCACAATGGAAAGTTTTCTACGACTGCTCTTGTGACTGTGTCAATACGCACAAAACGTGTATGATAAGTACAAATGACTTAAAATACTTTGATAAGTAAAAATTCCGAGTTGAAGTCGCAGATCAATTGCAAAAGAGGAGTGTGCGTTTCCTTTAAGCCTTAATCAAATCGACTTCTACCAGCAATATAGACAAACGTTAGCAAGGAACATCTAAGTGCACCATGTTTACAGGAAGTGTGTCTTGCGAAGCGCCTGATACTTTTGGTAACCGACAGCGACAATCCCAGCGATAATAATCACAACAATGAAAAATGGAGTCTTCCATCCACTAGACTTGGCAGCGGTTTCCTTCACAGTAGCTTCCAGTTGTAGATTTACTTGGTCTCGAATAGCGTTTTCGGTGCTGTGCACACGCTCACGCACTTTTCCGTTCGCCCAAGCCTCAAGCTCCTCGATACGCTTTTCATCTTCAATTTCCTGTTGCTTGAGCCTTTGAATCGTAGTGTCCGTTGACTCTTTCAGTGAAGTGATCTTATACTCGAATTCCTCAATTAAATGAGTATACTTTTGTTTCACCACCTTCATCCTGTCATCAATACTTCCTTCGCTAAGTTTGGCTTCGAGCGTCTTGTCTTTGGCATTGCGATGCTTCTCATCCTCTTGGTCTACTAGCGAGTCAATCACGTCACTATATTTTGAATTAGACATTAGCATCTCATGAGTTCTGGGTGAATCAGAACAAACTTACTCATACACCTTGATAGAAATGACGTCGTGATTGTCGGCTAGACTTCCTGTCGAGGCTGAGATGCCAACGTATGCATCACTCATCCAGTCGTCTCCAAAATTTAGGCGCTGACTGTAGCACTTGATCCAATTACCCGACGCATCGGCGTCCACCAGAATCGTAATGTGCTGATCAGCCTGCGTGTAAGTAATCTTAGCACGAGACATGTTAAGTGACGGGTTAAACGCCGCGTTTTTCTCGTGGTAACGAATACCGGGTGCCATGCAGCCCTGCTTCTCCATGTCGTTTAATTGGTCAAGTGTCTTGGTGCCGTCATTTTCAAAGAACGTAACATCTTTGTGACCACCACTATGCTCCTTATTGACGAAAGTATCAAATAGAATGCCAATTCCCTTGTATTCCCCAATAAAGCCGTGATTATCACCCGGCATGTACTCACTGGTCGTAAGCCAGAGAGCCAAACCATCGCCAAACCAGGATTTAGCCTGGCCACTGATACGAAACGTAAGCACTGCAGTAAATTCTTTGACCGCCAACTTTTGTTTTCCCCATATAAAACCACGCTTGCTCTGTCGGTCAGGTGTAAGGCGAGCAAAGTGGCGGTTTACAGCCGCATCGCCACCATACACAAAGTTTTCTCCAAGCTGTCGCAAGCCTCCTGCGTCAACGTCGTCAAAAGGTTTCTCAAAAGATACAAGATCTAGACGCTTAGCGCTAGTGGAAGAAGACTGTAGCAAGGCGAGCAATGCCATCAAACTCAGCAGCTGCACATGAGACACCATCTTGGCACCCCGGAATGAAGTTCGTGACTTGCTACGTGGCATCCACGTCAAGTACAGATCGTGAGTCTATAAGTACGAACTTACGTGTACTATAAATAGTATCTGCGCCATTTATCTGACAAATCGTATTAGGCAGGAGAATATTTACTTAGGTTGTTAATGTGGCTTGAAGTAAAATATAATCAACTCAGAATAGACAGAGATCGTTTAGCAGAGGAAAGCTTAATTTATGGCAATCGCATAAACAAAGGAAGTGAAATGTCATCATACGTACTTATAACGTTAAATGATTAGCGATCACTATCACGGCGAGATCGATGCTTCATCTCTTGTCAGGCCGTGTTAGATACACCAAAGAACGTGTCAGGTGGTGAATTGTACAGCCAGAATTGACAAACACACCGCCACGCAAAGAGTCTCAGCTTCAATCAAATGTGGTAAATTTCTCAGGCTAACCCACCTCTCGATGAGAGACAAGGTGTAACCAACTACGCGGGGAATATTTATTGGAAACTAACCTGGTCAGTAAGCTCTATTAGTCTGGCATAATATAACGGCAGCTAGACGTGAAACCGTATCAAATCAACTTACACTATATACAAGACGTCGTAAACTCGGGCTGGAGGTGTCCACGGCCACTTCTAAACGATAGTAATTGGTTTGTGATCAAGTCAATCCCCAATACGCCAGGTCTTCAAGTTGTGCTACCTTTTATAAAAACTGGCAAAAAGCTTGAATTGTATGAGGAATATCAGAATCATGATCGTCTTGGGTTCTTCAGAACGCCAGGCCAAGTATTGACAGCCATAATGTATAGCGCAGGTGTGGAGTTGGTGCTACCGTCGTGAGTAAATTCCGAGCGTCAACTCGCTTGTTGAAACGATCACTGTCAGAGCATGCAAAAGCACACAGATAATAAAGTACCATGATGAAGTGTCATGATTAGCACTGATCATCGTTAATAGGAATTCCGGGCATTGCACAGGTTTTTATTATGATAGCAAATAAAAAGCTTCATTTTACTATAAGTCGTCTTTGTGCAAGGAAACCTTCATCGGCTGAATTTTGAAAGAGTGAACCTAATTTGCTGGAATAGGAAGGTATAATTACATATAATGGCTGGCTGTATGCGGTGACTGAGTAAGGTCAGATGAGTCGCCATAATTAGCCGCAACATCAATGAGAATAATCTGTCGCCTTTGGACCAAATCGAAATGCCGTATAATATGTCCCTTTAAGATTTGCCCGGTCGCGCGTCGTAACTAGCCATGGTCCACAAGAAATGTATGCCAATAGACGTAGTGAACGTCTTTCCCCTCGCTTGGCATGGCTCAAGTCAACCAAGTAATACAATTGGCTCGGGTTAAGTATTCAAGATTGATTTTGTAAAAAGGTACACAGCTGGGACACACACCCCTGTTACCAGGGTACTTGTAACCCCGTTACATTCATAATACCGATTTCTCGCAATATAAGTATGCTCAATTACATAAGAGTTTAGTCAAATTTTGTACAATTGCACAAACTCAATTGTCTAGATATGCTTGGTGTGACCACACCCAAACAAGAATACGGTACGGGCAGTAGTTATAAATGTATTTATATTTTACTATATATTTAGTATATTTAGGAAAATCTAAACTTTTAAAATTGGGATCAAAAATAAATAAAAATCAGTTTTGGATTTTAAACCGAAGAGTCAATTAGCCTTCGGAAGGCAATAATTATTCTTGGAGTAAGCGGATTGCGATCCGCTAACTCGTACTTGTTCTAAGTATAGAACGAA